ACCTAAATTTTGTCTATGTATTGTGTGGATGGGAAGGTTCTGCAGCCGATTGTCGCATTCTTAAGGATGCAATAAATAAATCTAATGGCTTGAAAGTCCCTAGAGGTAATGAAGGAAAAGGATTGTCCATTTAAATTAATTGTTAAAACATTTCATAGGTTTTTATAGTTAAAAAGTAAACAACAAATTAAATCCTGTCTTTTGTAGGTAACTATTACTTATGTGATAATGACTACACAAATGGTGACGGTTTTTTGTGTCCATACAAGGGAGTGAGATATCATTTGAAAGATTGGGGGGAAGGAAGGCTTACACCTCAGAGCCCTTACGAATTTTTCAACATGTCCCATTCGAAAGCTAGAAACGTGGTCGAGAGATCATTTGGTATTTTGAAAAAAAGATGGGCAATCTTACGTAGTCCAACATTTTATGATATAAGAACTCAAAATAGATTAATTATGGCTTGTGTGCTACTGCATAACTTCATTCGACGTGAGCTTCCGGTGGATCCCATAGAAATGATGATCGGAGAAGATGAACAAAACGAAGATGGTGATGATGACTTGTCATATATTGACTGTGTCGAGACCTCTGATCAATGGTCTGAATGGAGAGACACATTGGCTACGTCAATGTTTAACGAGTGGAGGTGTATTAATTGAGTGGATATGTAATCTTTTTTACTGAATTTAAATTGTAATCGCGATGATGACATTTCAGTTTGATATGTAATGAAAACTCAATTGTTTGTGTTGTTTGCCTTTATATTTTCGTCTTCTAAATTTTGTAACTTGTTTGATCATTACAGTTATTTCTTTGTATCTATAGTGAATGAACTATCTTGTTGATTTGATATTGTATCTATTATTTTGTTGTGATTTTTGTAATTATACAGTGATGATGAACTCTACTTCCACAATGATTCCAAAACTAAGAAAACCACGAGCTGACAAAGGTCGAAGGAGTTGGAGTCGGCAAGAGGAGGAAGTTCTTATTGCTGCCCTCAAAGGAACCATCACTACTGGTTGGAAATCTGAAAATGGGTTCAAGATGGGGTTTCTTAACATCCTTGAGCAGGAATTGGTGAAACAGTTACCGGGTACCGATTTGCGAGGTATGCCCCATATCAACTCGAAAATACATGTGGAAGAAAGATTATGGTAGTTTGTGTACTATGCTATCACGAAGTGGTGTTGGATGGAACGAATCAACCATGATGGTTGAATGTACTGACGAAGCGTGGTCGGAGTGTTTGAAGGTATGTTATTTAGATTCCAATATTGTTTTGTCTTTGTTCTAGAAAATGGTACAACTGTGATATTTAATTTGTGATTTGTTCATCATCAGGTTGATGCTAATGCTCGTTCCATGCGTCACAAATCTTGGCCATACTACTATGATTGGATCGAGATTTTCGGAAAGGACAGAGCGACGGGCCACCAAGCTGAAGACCTATTTGATGCAACTAGCAATGTGAATCTATCAGGCCCTTCACGTACTTTGTCTGAACATATAGAAATGAACGATGTGAACATGGAAGAAGAGGTGAACGAGACAATGTCGGAGAGCACCCAACCATCTTCAACGGGGACGAAAAAAAGCGTAGGGCGTAAACGAAAGTCAGGTCAGAGTTCTGATCCTCTTTGTGAAGTTATGAAAAGTTTTGCTGAAAAAACGGGTGCTCGTTTGGAAAAGATTGCGCAAAGGATAGGCTACGAATATGATGTTTCAAGTGCTCGTAAGGATGTTTATTCCATTGTGAGGGAAATTGAAGGTTTGAACCTACAAGAGCAGTTGCTAATCTCCAAAATTTTAGTAAAGAATATCGACGAGCTAGATTTGTTCTTCAGCCTCGACAATGCTGCTCGAGTTGAATTTGTGCGAATGAAGTTGGCCGAAAGTATATAGCGAGCCATGGTTATTCTATTTCAATATTATCAAGTTCGTATTTGGTTTGTTTAGGGTTAAACTTTATTGTACTGTAAGAAACAGGAGTTGGTGAACGTTGCTAATTTATGAATGAATTGTTGTCCCTGCACTTGGTTTTGTTTTGTTAGAGCTGGGACTCCGTAAAATGGTTTGTCTTTTGGAATGAAACATGTATGAACGATGTGAACGATGTGTTGTGGGAATGTTATGTTAAGGTTTCAAGTATTCTGTTTGTTAGTGTTTCCAGATTTTAAGGTTCAACTAATGGGTTTTAGTTTAGTGTTTCCATGTTAAGCATCATACATAACAACCATGTTAGGTCACTACCACTGAGGTTACGTCATAACCAAACAACTCCAGCAACTCAGCAACAACTACAAAGATAATCGAATTAAAACTACAATTACAGAAGTAAACTCCAGCAACTCAGCAACAGCTACAAAGATAATCGAATTAAAACTACAATTACAGAAGTAAAAATTGCAGTAAATCTCTTCCTAAGTAACTACTTATTTTATGGCTATAAAATAAAGACACACAATAAAAGCGTGTTTAAAACTCGGCATTGGTTAAAACGACGATAATTTTTCATTCAAAAGAGACGAACATAGTCATACATGATAAATAAAATAAAAAACCCGGAATTGTTAAACCTACATCAACTCCTACCATCCTTCGAATTCCGACAAGGCATGAACCGTTGGCCATGGTAGCTTATTGGAGGAAACGATAAATAAAAGCAAAAGGCTCCATGAGATAAGCCTACATAAACACACCCACCTACTTAATACATCGCCGTTTTTTTTTAAAAAAAATGCGTCATCTCCTATTTTTTGTAAGGAGACGACGAAGATGCAGTAGAACTGTTTGGAATATCATAAATGTTGTCATTGTGCTTGTCCCAATCGTGTGACGCCCAGTGGTTGTCGAACTTGCTCATAACAACAGAAGTGGAAGCTAGGGTGGTCGGTGGTTTTTCAGGTCGGCAACAGAGGAAACACTTGTGGAGTCGGCATTGTACCATGCAAGTTCGTAGTGAAAACAATTATTTGTATTGTCAGATTCGTTTTCAATAGCCAAATAGGGATTACCGTCTTCGTCATTGTCTCCTTCGTCTTCACTGTCATTGCCTCCTTCATCTTCTTCGTCAGAAATATTAATCACTTGTCTAGCTTGCACACGTGCGTTCATGTTACCATCTCCAAACAAATAGTCCAGCTCATGGATAATGTACTCGCCCTCCTCCATGTATGCCATCGATAGCTTTTGTTTCT